TTATTTAACTAAGCAAATAATGATGGCGATGATAGACTATGATGGAAAGACAGAAGCTCTGAGCACTTGCTATGTGCCAGGAGCTATGCTGAGTGTTTTAAAGTAGTTATTCCCATTTTCCTCGTAACTGGCTCCAGGGTTAGCTACTAGTGTTTCCCTCGTTAAAGAAGAAGAAACTGAGGCTGAGGGAAGTCACACCACCTTTGTAGCAGAGGCGGGACTCAAAATCTGGTCTAACCTCCTTCAAAGTTTGATATGCACCCATTACCTTAGAACACCCCTCTGAAATTCAGTTTCTTCCGCAGTTTTCAATCCATTTTAGCTAGCACAAATATATATATATATATATATAATATATATATATATAGTGATAAAAATAGTGAATGTTTAATTTTTTTCAAAAACGTGTGCTATAATAAAAGACATATTGCCATGAATTCCCCTCAGAATATTCCCCACTCCCTTCGGACACATTTATGCGTCACTCTTGCCACTTTCTGAAGCAGCTCTGGAAGTCCTCCTTAGTGTCTTTAGTTGCACTGTCAACTGTCTCAGTGACCTTAAATTGATTCAACGCGTTCTCCTTTCACGGATGGTCCTTTTGACTTCAGGGAAGAGCCAGAAATCACATAGTACCAGATCGGGTAAATGGATGAATAAGGACACATCATTATGTTTTTATGAGCCTGACTTTCCTTGGGTGGCACCTGGCAGCAGCATTCATCACAGTTTTTTAACCACAGTTCTTGAAAGAGGACTTCCAGAACCGCTTCAGAAAGTGGCAAGAATGGGATAAGCGTGTTCAAAGCAAGGGGAACTATTTTGAAGAGGATCAATGCCAATCTTTTACCATAACTTCTTTAATTGAAACACACCATACATGTTGAGCAACTCTTTTGTCTATATAAAATTATACATAGTACCTGACGTACAGGGAGGCCTGCCTGGAGCTCCGGAACTTACCCTCTCAGCCTCCTCTCTGCCCCAGAGTTCCCATCTGCCCCGTCGCTCCATGGCCCTGGCCAACCTCACAGGCGGCCCTCAGTTCCTGCTCCTTGGCCTGATGGAGGATGCCACAGACGACCACCCGCTGTTGTTCCTGCTCTTCCTCAGTGTCTACCTGCTCAACGCCCTGGGCAATCTGAGCATGGTGGTGCTGGTGAGGTGCGACGGGGCTCTGCGCTCCCCCATGTACTACTTCTTGGGTCACCTGAGTCTGGTGGACGTCTGCTTTACCTCGGTCACGGTGCCCCGCCTGCTGGCCAGCCTGCTGCTTCCGGGCCAGGCCGTGTCCTTCGGGGCGTGCTTTGCCCAGATGTACTTCTTCGTGGCGCTGGGCATCACGGAGAGCTACCTCCTGGCAGCCATGTCCTACGATCGCGCGGTGGCCGTGTGCCGGCCGCTGCGCTATGGCGCGGTCGT